GATCAGCAGCAACATGAAACAGATCAACAGCAACATGAAACAGATCAACAGCAACATGAAACAGATCAGCAGCAACATGAAACAGATCAGCAGCAATATGAAACAGATCAGCAGCAACATGAAACAGATCAGCAGCAACATGATGTGATTTTTCACAGTGATTATTCTGGTAAGAGATTCATGAGTCTAACAGCCTCAGGGTAGAAGCTGTTCCTCAGTCAAGTGGTTCTACACTTAATGCTCCTCAACCTCCTTTCTGAGGGGAGTGGGGCAAAAAGTGTGTGTGCTGGGTGAGTGGGGTCCTTCATGATGCAGGTGGCCCTCTTCCTGCATCTGGAGGTGTAGATGTCTGTGATGCTGGGGAGACTGACTACAACAGACTTCTGTGCAGCCTTCACCACTCTCTGCAAAGCTTTTCTTTCTGCAGCTGTGCAGCCTCCATGCCACACGTTGATGCTGGAGCACAGGATGCTCTCCACTGCACACCTGTAGAAGAAGGTGAGGACTGAGCTTCCCAGACCAGCTCGCCTCAGCGATCACATGCATGAAGCCATAATCCCTGTAATCCTGCAGCATCTCACAGAAAATCTTCAGGTTTTTACATATCATGTGTGCTTTAATGGCAGCAGCCTCTGAGGCAGAGATCAAACTGCTGTGATGTCCACCCACTGTGAAAGGCAATAAGCAGATGTACAGTATATTCATCTTCAAATGTGCCCGTGATTGTTGTGACCTGAAAAAAAAAATCACTACATAAAACAGTACACTAATAAAGCTTGGTCTCTCTTCTGTGCACGTGTCCAACATTTCTCTGAGCCTAACTTAATTATTGATGGCTGTCTTTCGTTCTGTCAATCAGTCTGGTTTTCTTTAACGTTTAAAAAGCAGGTCATAAAGCAACCAGGTCTGCTCTGTCAAATGCAACACTTTCCAAACATAAAGTTCTTTGATGCACAAGCTTGCTATCTGATTATACATCCTTTTACTTCCCACCCCCCATAAAACGCTGGCAAGAGGAGCTCTCCTTTGTAATGGCTTCTCTCGGCTCCTCGTTCTATTACAAATGATACAACAGTTAGTTAAGACCCCACGAAACATTTCATTTTCTATCCTTCTAATTAAATGTGTCTCAGATGAGCCCACTGAGCCCACTCGTCTGGTTGTCCTCCATTTGGAGTGCCACCAGAGTTTAATATACGGCATTAAACAGGGATTGAGCATGAAAATGAAGCCCACCTCCCAGTGGGGAATGTAATGGATGATTATAAGGCATAATCTTAGTAATGCAGAAATCCTTTAGTTCCTGTCATTTTAGTTAAGTTATTGTCTGTTAAATATGGTAATAAATTGGGCTGTTTTAGACATGGTTCAGATTTCTTTAAGTGAGTTGAGTTATGACACACATTTCTTGCCAATGCTTAAGTAAGCTTCATTTTTTAATCTCTCACACAGAAAAGTCTTTATTTAAGACAAAAAAAGTAAACACACATTAACTCTGCTCAAATTTAAGGAATCTCAGAGGCAAATAAAATGTTAACACCTTAAAATAAAATGTTTGTCGTAAGATGCACATATGTCCCGCTGTAACGAGGATGATTTTTAATAGATGTAACAATTAGTAAAGTCACTGTGACACCAAACTAGAAGGAAGCATTGAGCACTTGTTATTTCTCAGAGTTTTTCTGGAGTAAAACTGAGACGCTCAGAGATTTTGTCTCATTTATCTAAACGGTAGATGGACTTCAGAAGTGTGACACCCTTTAAGCTGATAGGTGTAGACAACTCTAGAGCTATAGTAGATTGCTGTTGTTTTAAACTACTCCGGTCTCATAATTTTACAGGTTTGCACAAATGCTATATTAGAAACCCTCACTTTTACATTACATGGGTTTTTACCTAAAACTCTAAGGATATTTGCGAGTGCAAATAGCAGCAGGAGCACCTCAGTGTAGCACATCCACTGCAGCCTGGGGCACTTCTGATAGGAATATCATAATATTTCTACAGGAATAGCTATGTAACATAAAATTGGCAGTCTTCTAAAAGTTTATACAACAGTTTTGCATGAACTGCTATGAATTGTTTTGAGATTGGAGTTTTTTTTGTTTTTGTTTTTAAGATGACAGCAATCCAGTTTGGTCTTGGCTTGTCGATGTGCTCAAAATGAAACTGTCTTTATAAACCGATGCTATCAATTGCAAGAAAGATTATAACTGTTCAAAACTTTTCCACAGACGTATATTCCAAAAGATTTGAACTCACTTATTTGTGACACATAAATAAGAATAGAATAGAATAGAATAGAAACAGCCTTTATTGTCCCACAGATGGGAAATTCCAGGTTAAAATAAATAACTTTAGAACCCTAAATCATTTTAAGTTGGCTATTTGCCCAGAGGCTGAAGGAAAGCTTTAAAATGATCTTCTGTTCTGCATTGTTTAGAAACAGCTTTTTTAGTTGTTAAATACAAATCATTATTTTCAATCATGCAGGCTACTTAGACATGCCTTTAAATTATCTGTGCTCTTAACTTGAACGGAGGTGAGACTCCTCTAGCAGTAAGATTACACCTATAAGAGCGCTTCTTGTGCAGAAATCTTTTTTACTCGATACAGTAAAGTCAGTAGTAAACTTCAAGGCAGCCTGCCTACATGAAAGTCCAAGGGGAAGCAGAATGAGCTGCATGCAGGACTATTAGCCCTCAGTAACACAGTTGATGCATTAGCTCTATACTCCGCTTGTTAACCCTGGAGACTCCAAACCGATAAATCCTGGTTTAAGAGTCCTGGCAACCCCAGAGCTCACACAGCAGCTAGTGTCCACTGTTGCACCACCTATGGATTAACTCTTTATCTATAGTCCTTCAAACTATATATGTTACAAAAAAAAAAAGTCCAAACACATCATGCAAAGAGTATTTGACCTCCTTTTGTGACCTGAAATACAAAGTCTCACTTGTATGTCCAATTTGTCAACAGCAACATGTAGCATCAGATGAGACAACTCATCTGGCTAATATTTATTCAAAAGCATCCGAGGGGCTTCTGTTGTGTGTTCTAATGAATAAAACACGATGTTTATCCTTCCTGTTTAACATTAAGTCCCCGTGAACAGTCACAGGGACCATGGGAGAATATTTACTTGTGTTGGGACACCAGAGAGATGGATTATCTGCTGGCGGCTTTGTAGTTCTCTGAAGCTTCCCCGTGTGACACGTTCCAGGGAGAGTGCTCCTATTTACTCTCCGTTCCTGTGTGTATAGCCCTGCTTATTGTTTGTTCTCGTGTGCCACAATGTGCTCCAGGAGAGACAGACAGAAGCAGAGAGGCACTAACGGTGTGATCAGACGTGGGACTGAGGCTGCAGAGTTCAGGAGGACAGACGTCAAGATGCTGCCACTGCTCCACTAGAAAAGGGGACTTTGTACTGACAATGATGAGCATTTATTATAAATATTTTATCAAGCTACATATGAGATGGGGAAATGAGTTTACAAAAGAGAAGGAGTGTAGTTCTCATTTTCGCCGAAAGGTGGCGACATTGGGTTTCCAAACGGTGAACAGGCAGCTCCACGCCACGCTCTTTTAAAACACTTCCTCCACTAAAACAAAGTGCCATTTCCTTTTTTTGCCTTAATAAAAACAACCTATCTGCAAGTTGAGCACAGCCTTTAGTGACGAAAACGCCTGATGATCTTTTATAACCGAGTGAGAAATACAGAAAATGCTGCAGACGGACTCAGTAATTAACAAGTCGCCTGTAATAAATAACAGACTGTGGTGTAAAATTCTCTACATACACGCTACATGAGGGCAGGATTAATAAAGTGGGACTTCTCAGCAGACTGCTCGAATAAAATCACGCTGAATCCTCATGACTCAGAAAATATGTATTAGAATAAAAGTACGGATAATTACCTTCATAGCCCCTTAAACCTGCATATTAAGTGTCTATAATCAATATTTTTGATGGGCTCGGGCAGTTCAAGTAAACTTTAGTTACTTTACTATATGCTAATTACTTCCCCGGACTGGGCTGCTGATTGGCTGGGTCTCAGTCAATTTCATATTTCAGCCCTGACGTCAGGACGCCCATAAAACTAAGCAATGCTTTTTAACTCGTCGGCTGACTGATCTGATAGAGAGAGGAAAAAAATCTATCAATCCTTGGGTGGAGTTTTTTTTTTTTTCCTCCTCCATTCTCTACAAGGCAACTATTTGCCCGGGACAAATACGCGAACCTCCTCAAATTGGCGCACTAATCCTAAAAGGAGCCATGAAGTGTTAAACGGTAGAAACAGAGAGAGCGGCGCTCAGACACGCGCAGCGGGGAGAGAGGGAGGAAAGAGCGCAGCTCCAATGCGTCTGTGCAGCCCAGCCTGAAGAGAAAAAAAAAAAACTTATCGACTCACAAAACCAGAACCTGCGCGGCGCAATTAGTGCGAGAGAACTCACTTTTCCTTCGGTTCTGAAGAAAATAAATAAAGAAATCAAGCTGGCTCAGTGCGTGTCTCAGCAGCACACTTTGACAGGTGCTCCTCACCCCCTTTGGAGGACTGTCAACAGCAAGAGGATGGCATCAGAGCTGGCAATGAGCAACTCCGACCTGCCCACCAGTCCCCTGGCCATGGAATATGTTAATGACTTCGATCTGATGAAGTTTGAAGTGAAAAAGGAGCCGGTGGAGCCGGAGCGCAGCATCAACCAGTGCAGCCGCCTGGTCGCCGGGGGATCCCTGTCTTCCACCCCGATGAGCACGCCTTGCAGCTCGGTTCCCCCCTCTCCAAGCTTCTCTGCGCCCAGTCCGGGATCAGGGAGCGAACAGAAGACGCACTTGGAGGATTTCTACTGGATGACCGGGTACCAGCAGCAGCTGAACCCCGAGGCTCTGGGCTTTAGCCCAGAGGACGCCGTAGAGGCGCTGATCAGCAGCAGTCACCAGCTCCAAACCTTTGACGGCTATGCCAGAGGGCAGCAGTTCGGCGGCGCGGCCGGGGCAGCGGGCGCCATGGCCGGGGAGGAGATGGGGTCGGCGGCCGCGGTGGTGTCCGCGGTCATCGCCGCAGCCGCAGCCCAGAACGGGACTCCCCACCACCACCACCACCATCACCACCACCACCACGCGGGGACACACCACCCCTCCTCCGGCTCGCAGCCCGGCGGCGGCGCGGGGGGGAACCACCAACACATGCGCCTGGAGGAGCGCTTCTCGGACGAGCAGCTGGTCACCATGTCGGTGCGGGAACTGAACCGGCAGCTGCGGGGGGTCAGCAAGGAGGAGGTGATCCGTCTGAAACAGAAGAGGAGAACGCTAAAGAACAGGGGCTACGCGCAGTCCTGTCGGTACAAGCGGGTCCAGCAGCGGCACGTCCTGGAGGGGGAGAAGACGCAGCTCATGCAGCAGGTGGACCACCTCAAGCAGGAGATCTCCCGGCTGGCCAGGGAGAGGGACGCCTACAAGGAGAAATACGAGAAGCTGATCAGCACCGGCTTCAGAGAAAACGGAGGCTCCAGCAGCGACAACAACCCGTCATCTCCGGAGTTTTTCATGTGAGTCCCGCGCGCGCATGAAACTTTGCAAACTTTTGAGTTTGCGCGCAGCTTCTAGAAACTCCGCGCGCTCCGTGGAGCTGAATTAGTTCAAAGCTCAAACTGCTGCCAGCCATTTGAAAAAGAGCATTTTGCGGTAAAATGCGGATGTTCTTGGTTTCCCTGGTCTTAAAGGAAACACGCACGTGTCCCTCAGAAACTCCGTTTATTTGACTTTAGCGCAAACCTTTCTGCGTCGCTCCGCTCCTTTTTGCGCCTAATTCAAAACTTCTTTGACCAACACGAACACACTTCTCAGGATCTCTTATGACATGAGAGTTTTATTTATAAGTCATATTATCAGAATATGAATTTTCTCGTTTTCATATTTGATCTGACTTGTGCTAAGATAAAATAAAACATTTGTCCCATCAGAGGTTTGGATCCGCATGCTCGTCATGATTTATGTTTTATTTGCTTATTTTTCTGTTTTCTGTTTGCGTGTGAACTTGTGTATTTGTTCTGTTATCACCATTGTTCATCTCCATGAGCTTATTAGAAAAACTCGTGCATCACTTTATTATAATATCTATTTTAAATTTCCCGTGATGAACCCGACATGCTCCTGTCTGGTTTTTGGGCTGCACGTGGGGGAAATGAAGCAACTTTGTCTTCTATTGATTTATTCTAAAGGCCTCTCAGAGAGCAACATTTGGAGATTCTGCAAAAAAATCTGCACTGATCATTAAATAAAAATAAAAAAGGACAGATTGTTGCGATCAACAAGTGGGACTTGAAGCAGAAAATGTATATATTTTAAAAAAATCTAGATGTTTTAGTGTTTGCTTTTTATTAAAGAACCCTCAGAATCCTGCTGGTCATTTTTAATTTTACTATAAATAAACCGAAGTTTGGAAGTTTAATTGTTTGTCATCCAGTCTGATGTGAAGTTCACAAACTAAGGATATCATCCGCACGTTCATTAATAAACAGATTTATTCTCGGTCACGTTTTATTTAGCCCGTTTTTGTGCATTTTTTTATTCATCATTTCCCTCCCGACTTAAAGCGAAATGTAACAAAAATGTGCCACAGAAATGTGAACTCACACAGTTTAATGCAAATATTGAAACTCCGAGATTTAAATTTTAGGACGTGGTGAAGTAATTTTATCATTTAGGTTCACTTACATTTAAATTTCACCTCCATCATCAACGATTTTATTACAATATTAATTATGCAAGTATATAATTAGAAAACACATTCAGTTATTTCTCACTTGATTTAAAAAAAAAAAATCCTTAGAAATAAGATGACGGTCTTCACTTGTTGCTCAAAGCCAGACAAAAGTGAAAGATCTCAGAAAATGAAAGCACATATTTTATTTGCTCCTTTATTTGTTTTTGCTGCAGGTCCGGCAGAAACTCTGTTAATGATTGATTCAGACTTTTCACCAGTTGAATCTCTCACTTCACGACAAACACCCTGCAGGTTAAACAGAATAACCTGAACTCAAATGTTTCTGATTTCATGTCTAAATGCTAAACTTTGCCATGCATTAAAAAAAAAAATCTCGTGGGATGAAATGATGCAAGAACTTCTTTTTAAAAATTGTTCTTATTTCGCTGGAGTCAGAATAATTACTGAGGCAACCCCCATTTAAAGACAACATTACTGACTTCTTAACTTTATTAAAAAAAATACTGCTTTTGCAGTGAATCAACTGGTTTTTAACCCGCCTGCAGAGTCTCTTCCCAGTTCATCCTAAAAAGCAGCACAATTCAGATAAAAACCTTAAACACCGCACAAGGTCACCATCTCCCTGCATGCATGTGTGTGTTTGTGCTGAATATTTCTTATAGGAGCTGATGTTGCAACATGGAAACTTGAGCACAAACAGGTGTTGAATGAGAAACTGTGTGTGTGTAAAACACATAATGTCGCCGGGCCTGCACGGCTCCCGTGAAACGTGAGGGACAAGACAGCAAAGCCTGAAGCAATGATTTTGTCTGTGATTAAAAGGGAGACAGCACGAACAAGAGAGAGAGATGCTGGCTGCAGTCCTGCTCCTTTCAAATGATAAACGATCAGGGATGCACACGAGCTGAGAGGAGCGGGCCTTTTAGTGAGCATGTGTCCACTAATTTATGGTCCTCCTATCTGATTAAGTCAATATAGTGAGCGATTTAATTACATAACCCTAGAACTGCACGGAGACACTCTAGTTCTTTTGTGTCACCTCTTTGTTCTGTGAGGCCACAAGGATCTGTCAGGTCTCCGGTTCTCGCTCGCGAGGATCTGTTTTGGATTGTTTTTTTCATTCAAGGGGAATGAAGTGGAAAAATGGCTTATCGTGGCAGCAGCTGTGGAAATTGTGTTCCTTTTCCTTATTTTTGTTTTACCTCGTGTGTTGTTTTGACCTCTAAACACACCGAGAGGCAGGTGGATTCAGCACTGATTCACTTCCTGTGTTCAAGGAAGACAGGAAGTGACAGGAAGCGAACGTTTCAGGTCTTCCTCCTCACTTTTCAGCACTCTGTCAGAGTCTCATCCTCTGTTTTTTTTTTTTTTGTGTGTGTGTGTGTGTGCCTCTTCTCATTCATTTGCATGAAACAGCGTGCAGAGTAGAGATAGTGCATTATTAATCTCATCAATAGAAACTGTAATTCTATTCTCAGGCCGTGCATATTGACTCCTGCACTGTGATCATTTGCAGTCTGTCCAATGATTAGGTTATTAAAGATAATGTAGTTGTCTGCTGTCACAATATTGGACTCTCTCTTTCAGGTCAACCATGGGAAATCACTTTGAAATTTATCAGTATTGACATTTGAATCATCATCATGTACTTTGCTTTAATGTCTCAGAATTAGTAGGACAAAGGAAGCGTGCACTGTTGAATGCCTGCATGTGAGTGTTCAATATCCATCCAGCACTGTCTCATATATGACCTTGTGGTAGTAGAAGGCTTTAAGTGACCGTGTTAAGTCTGTAGAAAAGGCCTGTTTTTTTTTTAAACAGGGAAATTTGCACAATTTTAAAACTAGCACTTGGAAACAGTGCTGCTAACCGCAGGTTGTTTAACCCCAATTTACTCCAAATCATAATTTCTTTAGCTTTTTGGACTAATGTTGGGTTTAAAAAGAACTTTTTCCACATTAAAACTCTTTTTGCAACAGTATGCAAATCAGAATGTCCGCATTTCATCACGTTTCCAAAGAGCTAAGAACAAATTCCTATTCAAAGGAAGGAAACTATTTCAATATTTCCACTCAGTCTGCATCTGCATGACTCCACGCGACAAACATTTACATTTAAAGTGATTTAAATCAGCCGCCTTTACGTTCCTTAGTGGTCCGTCTATCATCCAGACTGTCAGCGGTGGAGCTTTACTCTCTTCTCGCCCTCTTTTTGTGTCCCATTGTGCCATTTATTTAAAACTCTAATAATTTATTATGTCCCATCCTGTCGTGGCTGTGCATTTGCTAAGAATGCTGTTGCTGTAAATAAATGAAAAAACAGTACTTCTGATTTTAGATGTATCCTGTTGAGCTGTACACGAGGGTTTTCCCTGCAAATAGAAGAATGAGCATTGTGAAGAAAATGAGATTGATTCTGAAATGTGTAGTCTGACTGTGATTGTGCAGCTGTAGGACAATGTGCACGTAGTTGTGCAAGACGTTGTCCTCAGAATGCACAACTGAAGGGCAGGAGATGAAAACTTGTCCTCTGGTTGGACAGAATTACAAGTTTCTCCTCTCACACAATGCAGAGTTGATGTTTCGGGTCACAGTCAGTCAAAAAGCACGGTGGGGGTGTTTGACAGAGGCGTGTATTTCCATGCATGAGTTTGTGTTCTGCAGGGTGGAGCTGGATCCGAGCCCGGACCCCGTGTGTTTTACCTGCATCTCAATGAAGTATAAGGTGATTTACCCTTCGACTGCAGTCAGCCTCTCCCTTAAGCCAGTCAAACAGACATTGATCTCTTTCCCAGGCAAGGTGACCTGCCATATTGTTCAGCTCCTCCAAAGCCTTGTGCCTCGCTTTTATTTGTACCTGGGAAAGGCCTTGACCCCACACACTGCTCCCATGTCCCAGCCTTATGGGGGGGGGGGGGGGGGGGGCTCTCCTGCCCTGAGCGTGAGCGGTTGTTTGACTTAGCAGGGCTGTGTGCACAAACCTGCCTGCCTTTGTCAGATCCAGTGTCAGTCAAGTCGACTTCTCACGTGCAGCTTCGTTTACGCACATTGAAAGTGTAAATCTCCAACAAAGTGTATTTACCGTACACCTCAGAGCTTGCTATATGGTTTGGAGAATGTCCAGGTGATGCTGGCCTTCTCCGGACTCTAGGTCTGTCACTGGGAGTTCTTGTGTCGCTGCAAGGGTCAGAGTCCATTTGGCACCAGTACGAATCGGATTACAGAGCAGTAAATGGTTTTTATTGTTGCTTCACGATGGATTAAAGGGAATTAATCATGTTTAACACTACTTTGCTTTATTTCTTAATCTTAAAACTTTCATTTATTTGTCTGAATGCTCTACTGCAGGGTTTATAGAGTTTATTCATCCACTGTCATCTGTTACAGGTGTTTGTTCACGGCTCATGCATGAAAAACTTTGACCTGATTAATGTAACCGCGTCAACACAAACCTCACAAACCGACTGACTGAGGCAATGCTTCGTGGTATAATTCCTAACCATATTAAGAAAAGCTGATTTATTGGTAGGTCAGATATAGTGCACTTCTGTTTCCATTGTTTGTCCTGATTAACAAACCTTCTAAAATAATACTTTGCTTCCAAACACTGAAGATTTATTTGAATACGCCAAACCTTAAATTAAAACAAAAGGATTTGACTTTTGAAATAACTATTCAATGTGTGCATGTGTGTTTGTGCATGCATATGGCTTTAAATCCACATGCAGAAAGATGGGACACAAATATATGTATATTTTAAGTTTTCAAATTGCAAAACATGTCTAAATCTTGAAATCAGTTCGTTTAAATTTTAAGTATCTGAAAGGTTTTTTTTTTTCCATTTGTTTTTTCATAGATTTTGCCTGATTCTGTTCTGAACAATCTAAAGTGCCTCAATAGATAAATGTTGCACTTAAAGACAAGTTCACTACTGGATCACTAACATTTATTCTTCTTCTGTTTTTTTGCAGGACGTCGAGAAAATTCCTCCATCTGTGATAGAGACCTGTGTTCTCTTGGTCCCGCCAGCCTGCAGACTGAGGTAACGTCTATTTTTCAGGCTCTAATTTTGGACACTTTTTCCAAAATAAATTAAATTTGTAATAATGCAATTTTTAGGTGAAGTTTTTAATGGATTATAAATGAAAATAAAGTACAAAGAAAACATTGAAAAAGTTAAGTGATGTAAAAGTTATGCAGTTTAAATGTTGCGCCATCATAAAGTGTTTCCTGCTCATGTTGAGCTTCAAGCTCTTCAAAGTTTCCGTTTTTACAATGAAAATGTTGGCATCGCTCAGACTTACACCATTTTTAATGATTCCTGCTCTCGAAACTTTGCATCTGCACTCAAATATGTGCAATCTTCTTAACTCTGATTTAAAAAAA